CCCACATAATGTTCAGTCTATATGGGAGCATGCTGGGGGCAAAGGTCAGAGGTCAACTATGTGGGTGGTAATTAATGTTTTAGTTTTGACTTCGACGCATTCACATAATGGCTCAACGTGCAACGCCACTTTCCAGAGTGAGTCATTATAAGAATGTGTCAAAGTCAAAACTTAAACATTAACTACCATCTGCATAGTTGACCTCTGATCTTTGACCTTTAACCATTGACCTCAACATGTTCCCATATAGGCTGAACGTTATGTATTAAGAGATTTACTCTTAAGGGCACTGTTGGCACATTTAATTATTATATTAGTTAATTACTCAAAAAGCTCTGCAATTTGGCATTACCAAAATTTAAATAGCGATTTATCAGTTCGCAACGTTCCCTCTTGAGTATCCAATCCAGAATCATTTAAATTAGATCAAATATTATTTTGGCAGCATTAGTTACTTCGGAACAAGTTAATGATGCTTCATTACAAAGAAAATACATCCAATCTCTGAAGATAATCGTTGACTTTTTAATTGAAAATAATTAAATATGTCAATGTACGGAAAAATGGTATCATCAAAGGATTATTAGACATGCTAAAAGAATCGTCACAATTATCGTTGATAATGATCTATCCTAGTAATTTAATATCATTATTCAACAATGATGAACTCATTCAGTAATGCTGAACTATCTAAATACTGACATAATATGATCAAAAAATTAAATATATACAAACATCCTTATCCTTCAACCAATGATCGTGATCAATTAAAGAAAGATGAGGATAAATATGGTGTAAATGTCTGAGAAAGATGAAGATAATCTTTCATTTTATTTGCTCACGGTTATAGTACAAAAAAAACACTTTATCGAATATTCACAGCGACATGCTTCAAATAGCACGAACAACTATCTAAATGAGGATCACAAAATCAGAACAAGACTCGAACGTATAACTCCGAATATCAAACTGGTTATTTTATCAATTAAACTATCTGATTGTCAATGTATTTTGACGACTATGAATATCCACGGGAGACATGCACCATTAGATAAAAAGGATCACATAATCAGGATAGAAATCGAGCGCACATCTTCCAACAAGCGGTTGAGTCTTCAACCATTTATAGTATTTGAACATAATTTTGTATGGGAAAAGTCAAAGAGAAAACCGTGTATGATATGTCATAGTGCGTATATATGACGGCACTCTCGGTATATGTGAAGTTGCATTACGTTCGTCACGAGTATGGCGAGGGTGTACGCCTAGCGTACGAAGCATGATGACATGCGTTCCAATATCGTACGCATTGACATAGATAGCTATTGAACGAAATATAATACTGATATCGAGACATCTTTTCAGCTTTGAATTTATTTTTACTTCTTAGAAATGATAAAATCTTGAAATCTGAAACTATAATGTTATTTAAAATAAAAATAAAATATTATAATCGATTACATTAATCGATAATAAGAAAGTCCTGTTACATATTACAAATTTATCGATATATAGAAATCTTATTTATCTTAGGATATACTGATCAAATTATTTAATGAAGGTTTATCTGATATTCTTTTTGTAAGATTATTTATGAGTCAATTTATGAGTCAATTATCCATTCATGTATCACACTTTTGTTATTTTCCAATATTGTTCCTGACAATCACTAGTTTTAGCAAGTATAAGCTGATTATTATTTTTACCATCGTTGAAAACACCAAGCGATTTATCGTCACCTTGCCATTGTGTAGTTAAACGATAAAATCCATTACCAGTTGGAGTAATCTTCCAATATTGTCCACTATAATTACCAGTTTTAGCAAGTATCAGTTGATTATTATTTTTACCATCATTAACAACATCAAGAGATTTCTTGTCACCTTGCCATTGTGTAGTTAAACGATAAAATCCATTATCAGTTGGAGTAATCTTCCAATATTGTCCACTATAATTANATAATTACCAGTTGTAGCAAGTATAAGTTGATTATTATTTTTACCATCATTGACAACATCAAGAGATTTCTTGTCACCTTGCCATTGTGTAGTTAAACGATAAAATCCATTATCAGTTGGAGTAATCTTCCAATATTGTCCACTATAATTACCAGTTGTAGCAAGTATAAGTTGATTATTATTTTTACCATCATTGACAACATCAAGAGATTTCTTGTCACCTTGCCATTGTGTAGTTAAACGATAAAATCCATTATCAGTTGGAGTAATCTTCCAATATTGTCCACTATAATTACCAGTTGTAGCAAGTATAAGTTGATTATTATTTTTACCATCATTGACAACATCAAGAGATTTATTATTGCCTTGCCATTGTGTTGTTAAACGATAATATGAAGTTGGATCAAAATCTTGTTCGTCGACTATAATATGAAAAATAAAAAAACAGAGACACATCTACTTTAAGAGTGATTATATCATCATTACTGTATTCACACAGAATTTAATAATTATTGTTTTAAATAGAAGAGTCTCAGTTTCACAGGAAACAATCTGTATTTTACTGATTGGAACTATTTTCTTTTCTTTTTTGTTCTGTCTATATTACTCACACATTCAATATGGTGAATCTTCCAACTATCTGACAATCAACAGATACTATATCTATCGTTTGTGAATATGGCTCATTGGAGAATGTGGTACTGTCTTGTCGAATGCACCATGTATACCTCTATATTTCTATAAATAAAAAAAGATTATCTTTTCCATGCGAGACGTATTCGAATAGAAAATATTCGAAATCAAATTGAACTATGGGAGGTCAGTTACTATTACGTTATCAGTTGCCAGATAACGGAAAATTTCTCATTTGATTGCTTGTACAAAATCCATTTTTAGCTTTAAGAATTATTTTCTTCTCAAAATATGATACTTATGATTTTCTTTCAAAATAAAATATTCATTAGTATTTTGATCGTAAAATAACCCAAGAGTTGCTTCCAGACAATTACTCTCCTGTGATGTTTGCTTCCCGACAACAATTACTTTCAAGTAAAAGATCGTTGCTTTTAACTCATAGCGGAGAAAAGATGACTAACTAACAATAACATAACGGTTGACCTTGAAAAACTAGACTCTTAAACTCAGGATGATAATCGATGTAGAGTGTCCAATAATTCACTGAACAAGAAAAGTTTGAATATTTCATCTATATTTTGATCAGATGGACTAATTCTTTCATCACTGATAAATCATCGTTCATCGTTCATATTCATAAAAAAAAAGTTAACAAATACTACTTTGAAATATCATAGACGTCTTCTAACCTTTCACAAACTATACTAAAATAATATATTTATTCCTATAGGCATAAATAAGTAATACAGCACATACATATCTGATTACTCATTCTATTTAGAAATTTTAAGTCATTAACAATCAGAATTTGTTAAGACAACTGCAAAGATATCTCATGTACTCCTGGATAACTGAAATCAAAATATTTTGTAATATACTATTTTTCATACTCACTTATAGTAAAAGAATTTTCTTCATTATGCTCTTCTTCTTTTTCGTCTTCATCATGCATAAAGCCCAATGGTTCCATATCTTTAAAACAATCGAGTTTATTTCCAACTAACATTCGAATTTCATTGATTAACTGTTGAATTCTTAAATCCATATTTGTATCAATATCACGAAAATCAATCCATTTATGTCCTGTTATAGTAAAACCTAACCAACCTGTTGGTTTCCATTTTGCTATTAAACGTATTGGAATAATACATACACCTTGTTCTTTTGCATAAGTTAATTCATCTTTACATGCAACACTATCTTGATATTTTGGTGTCAAAAAACAACATATGGCTACTGCATTTTCTACTCCTGCTGCCATACTTAAACAAAATATTATTATGATAATATTAGCAAAAAAAGGTTTACCTTTCACTTAAATGACCTTTCATTCCACCTTGTATATCCATCCATAATGGAATCTTTTTTTCACTAAGACGACGATAAACTTCTGTTACAATTTTTTGATTATCCCATTGATAGGATAACATAATATGTTTTTTAGACGACATTTGTGTTCTTCTAAAACGATAATGATTAATTTGAGATAGACAAATATATATATACAAAAGTTTCTAATATGTTTGTATTTATTCAAAAGACTCGTCTAAATTTCAATATATCAGTGGAAATAGGATGGTTTATTTAAAAAATTTATTTGTAGGTTCAGATTATATTTTTCCCATCAAAAATGTTTCTATAATTAACAAATTATACCAATCAATGGAACGAATGCTCCTCTACAAAGTCTTATATCTCCTATATGTTATTATGTATTCTCGAAACCGAAAAAAGTCATCATAATAGGCGAGTCCGATCATTTTTTTGGTCTAATTTACATGCTGTCTTTTACCATTCTTGTTTCTCTTATGTAGTTACTTTTCAAGAGCCTGAGATGAATTTTCTATAGTTTTGTAGAGCGTCAAAAGATGCATCTTGTCATTAAAAAAAATATATTGGTTCTAAAATAGTAGCAACGTCTCGAAAAGTGCACGATAATGTTGGTCACTATGCAACATTTTTAAATATTTCGTCACAAGAAACCTAAATCTAAATGTAAATTGAGTAAGACATCAGAAGACCTCATTGCACGAGGGAAAGAGCGGAATTCTGGGATTCCATTCTTTCTCGTTTGCCTCATCGTCTACTAACTTGTGTTATCTTTTCCACGAAGAATTAAATTCTGTTTTTATTCATACCCATTATTTTCCCTTTTTCAAAACAAAAATAATAGGTTGATAAAAACAAAGATGAAACACTAATGCTTAGTTACAATGACATATTGGTACTCAAGTTTTGAACGTAGAATGAAGACAATAGTTTGGATTCGATCAAAAGCATAGATAAGAAAGATGAGAAAAAAACAAACTATTGTCAGTTCAGAATTTTGCATATAAATAATTTTCAATTTATGAGAATGATATACTAACAAAAAATAAGTCATCAGTGAAACCTATAGAGAAGTAATAAAGAAATACACCACTTCAATAATCAAGCCCATGCTGAGAAAGAAATGAATAAAAATAAATGCGAAAACATCGGGTTTAAATCCGAGTGTTATGTGTACTTCAAAAAGTGAACAGGTATATTCACTTTGTTTTTTATCATCTGAGACTATATCTAGACTATTTGCTTTCTCAACTGTAGTTTTTATGTATTTTGAGCCTTTTTCGGGGGATGTTTTGTTAGAAAGCTACAATTTGGTTTAAAACTAATATCAGATTCGGAATCACCGTTAAAAACTGAGTCGATATATATATGTTGTGAATAATTCGGAGAAAAAATTTTTTTTTTGAAAAAATCCCTGTACT